TTGTAATGTACAGGATGTTCCCTTTTATCTCGGCGGGAGGGGGGTTAGTTTCTTTCCCGATAGCCACTGTTTTTCTTGGCATTTAGAAAAGCCGAATCAAACCCCCAGCCCCCAGCCCCAACTATTATTGTGAAAATTAGTCGGCCTACGTTCTAAGTATAGTATATTCGTACAAATTTAACTTTTTTTTATTATGTAAAGAAGCCTAAACTATGCGGAAATGGTCAAAGTCCTCCACTATGTCATCATTAGCTGACGAAGATCAGGGTGGTCTCGCCAACATGATCTCGTGTGAGTGTTAAACTCCCTTGATGCAGGTGCAATAGATCTGGAACAGTTGTCAAACAGACGTGTCACTGTGTTAATTGATCAAAGTCGCAGCAAGGAGTCAAACCACAGAAACAGAGAAAGTACAGACTTTTGAGATCACGACCTAAAATAAATATGGAGAAGGAAAGCTCTGTTTGAACGACCACTCAATTTAGCGAAAAATATAAATTACTGCCAACGCAGGTAGAGTTTCTGTTTTGTTTTGTTTTGTTGTTGTTGATGTTGTTTTTTGTTTAAGGCCATCAGTTCTGCACACAGCCAGAATATTTACTGATTAATTATCGAAGCTGCCTTTAACTTTTTCTTTCCTCAGACTTCTTCTCTCTAGCAACTAGGCCAATCTGCCCCCCCCCCCCCCCACCTTAAAAAAGGAAGCAAGCAAATAAATAAATAAATAAATGAAAAAACAATACGACAATCCGCCACTAAAAAAAACCATCCCTAAAATATAATATCAATAATTTGCACATAGTAGTAGGTATCGGGAAAACCCAAACAAAAACAAATCAAAATGAAAATGCCAATCTTTTGCACGTCACAAAATAACCAAAGGCGGCCTTAAAAACCACGATAATTCCAAGAAAAAGAGGGAATAGTCACGCCCATTGAAACCAATTTTTGCGAACGGCTCATTGCATTCTACAGCATCTACGCCTTCTGTCTCCTTCTCACATCTGTGGGAATCACGATCTCTTCTTTCAGGTGGAAAAATACGTCGTCAGGTAGGCAGTTAGGGAAGCGGCTAAAATTAGGGTACGACAAATTTGACATTTAGAAAGTGGGCAAGCCAAACAGGGCATCTCTGCTCATTTGCTTGAGCCAACATTGGAAAAGAGCAAGGCGTTTACATATCTTTTCCACGCCATTTTTTGGATTACCAAGATTTGCGGACTGAATAACTGTAATTAAAAATTCCGTTTTTACGCAAAGCTCTTTTGCATCCGTCTCATTCGGGGTTTTTTCCGAATAAAATTTAGTATTTACATCTTCAATCTGGGTTTAAAAAAATGTATTCTTCATTTTGGGAAAAGAGTCGTCGACTCCCCCCCCCCCCCCCCCCGCGTACCGTACTTGGTTTCTCACCCCCCCCCCCCCCCCCCCCACCCCGTTGGGGAGGTGTTTGCATACCAGCGCTCGGAAGTGCTCCGAAAGTAGGAATAATCCCCAGCGTTTGTCTAAAAACGATACCCATAACTTTCTTTCATCCCTTCTGTAGACCCCTCACTATCTGCTCCTGTATTTGTAGTTTAATAATAATAATAATAATAATAATAATAATAATAATAATAATAATAATAATAATAATAATAATAATAATAATAATAATAATAATAATAACAAAAATGATAATAGTAATAATACTATTAATAATAATAATATAATAACAACAACAATAGCAATAATAATAATAATAATAATAATAATAATAATAATAATAATAATAATAATAATAATAACAATAATAATAATAATAACAACAACAACAACAACATAACAACAATAATAATAATAATAACAACAACAACAACAACAACATAACAATAATAATAATAATAATAATAATAATAATAATTAAAATAATAATAATAATAACAATAATAATGATAATAGCATCCAGGGCTGAGTGTTGGCTATGTGTATATGGGTGTGCATATGTGCGTGCGTATTCGTGTGTGTGCATGTTTGTTTTTGCGTGTGTGCATGTGTGAGTGCATGTGTGCGTGTGTATTCGG